TTAATCTTCCAAACAGCCCCCTGAATTATTAGCTCCATTTTATTAAGGAGGAAATTGAACCTTGGAGCGGTTTAAGAACCTGCTCAAGGTCACACAATTTGTAAGTGACACGCCTGGATTTGAACCCAGTTAGACTGAATACAGAGTTTATGATCTTAGCTACTGGGATATTATATCTCAGTTCTTCTTTCCAGTGTTCATATTCTTAAAACTTCCTCAGGACTCAAATAATTCATCTGCTTTTTTTAAAAACTTACTTCAATATGACCTGAATCTCAGTATTCTCAACGTGTATTTCAGTGTGGAATCATTTTAATCATTCAGGTATTAGGTGGAAGGAACAATTATCCCTCCTTTTCATGTTTAATTTTCCACAATGCAGGTACCTCAGCCTTCCTGCTGCCCAGGTGGTAACCATATCATCTTCTTTTTTCTTCTTCCTCCTGAACCTCAGTACCTCCTCATCCCTTTCCAGTAATAAGTTTAGCTGAGGTTCTTGTTGGAACACTTTCCTTCTATATGTTCCATAGTCCTGTATCCACCCCTTTCATTTCCAGTGCGGCCTGGGCTGACTAATGTACACTGTCTCTATGAGTGTACCCTTAAGAATGGGATTGTGGAACTCTGGGCTGTAGAAGTATTTTCAGGTATGATATGACATCAAGGGCTTAAAATCTAAGAGTATTGTTATTAATGGAGCAAAAAAATGATTTTATTGAGGCAATCAGGCTGTGCTTTAATCTAATTTTATGTTTTACAATAACCAGAGCAGCTTATTTATTCAGTTCTCTACTAGAATCTTAGAAAACAATTGCCAGAACTTGCTGTCACATTTCTCTATTAATGACAAGTTTATTTCCCTTCTTTATTTTCAAGAGTGATTCTTCCTCTCATTTCTCCCCTGCCATGCCCATACACACAGTGTTACTAAAAGCCATCACGTGAGGATATGAGAAGTACAGTCCAAGATCAAACTTCATCCATTTCCATTTGCATAGATTATACAAGGTTATGTTGGATTGAGTTCTCTCAGAAGCAGGCCCTAAGCCAAGAATTTAAGTGAAAGTGGTTTATGAAGGAAATCCTGGGATAAATCGGTAAGGAAATGAGGATATAAAGAAAGTGAAGGGAAAAATCAAACGAAGATTTTATTTCTGTAAAGTCTCTGACTCCACATGATTGCGGTGGCTCTGAAGTGCAATTTACAGAGTTTGCTCTACCTGGGAGCTGTTTCTGTCGTTTTCACTAGTCAGTCATTGGCTGCAGGTGAGTTAGCGCAGTGCCCAAGAGCAGTCAGACATCCATCAACAACAAAGAGCCGGCCCTGGCAGAAAGACCCGAGAATACCAGGATAGGACACCAATGATGTTCACTACAAAGACTACATCAGAAAATATTCGTCCGTATTTCACCTTCTTTTTACACTGGAGAGACGTGAGAGTAAGAGAGGTAAAATACTTCTAGAGTCTCACATCTGGTTAGTTGGATATGGAACCCACAAGGCCCTAGTCCCTAACCAGTGCTCTTTTCCAACAGCTGATAGTGGAAAAGGATTTTATTACTGTTCCATTATACCTCAGTTCTCTTTACTGTTCATCAGTCATTCATTTGAACTTTGCAAAGCATATTTTAAATAAACTTTAAATCAGCTTTATTATTATATACAAATACATAAATTGAATCTATTTTCACTATGCAATTCATGAGTTTTGACAAGTATATACCATGTAACCATTACATTAATCAATATAGAGAACATTTCCATCCCCTGAAAAAGAGCTTTCTTCTTGCTGTGTTGTAACAAGCACTTCTCAGTATTGCTTGGCCCCAGCAACCACTGATCTTCTTTCTGTTATTGGATTATATTTACCTTTGCCCAAATTTCGTATAAATGGAATCATAAAACGTGTTCTTTTGTGTCTGACGTCTTTCACTCAGCATATGTTTCAGAGTCTTACATATTGCTGTTTTAGTATTTTGTTTCATTTTATTGCTAAGTAGTACTTTATTGTATGGATATACCACAATTTGCTTAGTCATTACCTGTAATAGACAGTTTTGTTTATTATGAATAAAGCTGTTAATGAACATTTGTTTAGAGGTCTTTTTGTAGATACATATTTTCATATTTCTTGAGTAAATAACAAATTGTAGGATTGCTGGGTTGTGTCATAATTGCTAAGTGGTTCTCCAAAGGGATTGCACCATTTTAGATTCCCAGTAGCAATGAATGAGAATTTCAATTGCAACACATCCTCTTCAACACTTGGCATTGCCAGTTTTTAAATTTTAGCCATTTTACATAGTGTGCAGTGGTATCCTATTATAGTTTTGACTTGTATTTCCCTGACGATTAGTGATGTTGAGCCTCTTTTCATCTGCTTACTGGCTATTTGGACAACAGTAGATGTGTGGGTTTATTTTTGGGCTCTATTCCATTGCAGAATAGCAGTTTTTTCCAGATTATGCTTATTCCATCATTTCTACATTTCCAGATCTGTTTCTGTTGACTGATTTTTCTCTGATTATGGGCCATATTTTTGTGCTTTTTGTTATATTTAGTAACTTTATAGTGGATGCTAAACATTATAAAGTTGGTTTTGCTGTTGTTGTTTTCATTGAGTGCTAGATGTTGTGCCTTTTAGGAAACCTCTATACTTTTTTTCCTCTGACTGGCAGTTAAGTTACTTGCTGACCAGCTTGGTCCTTTTGAATCTTGTTTTAGAGCTTTGTTAGTGTAGGTTCAGAGTAGCCTTTACCCTATGTCTTATTTAGCTCCATTGTTAAGGTGTGACTTTGCTGTGGTCTCCACTGTATTCCCTAGATGTTAACTAAGACCTTTCTCCTCTGGCTGGTCATAATTTGAAAGTGTCACAGCCCTGTGTGGGCTCGGGGAATTTATCTGCCTGTGGCTTCCCAGTTGGCCCTTTGCCTGACCTTGTGCATCTTAGCATTTACCCACAGACTTCTTGTGATACCTGTGCACATTTCTGAAACTTCTGCAGTCTCTGGAACTTCTCCTGTGCTTTGCTTTACCTATTCCACCTGTCTGTCATGGCTTCCCTGAAATCTGCCTCTTCTCCCTTCAATTTAGCAATACCTCTTTTCTCTGCTTGAAATACCTCTCTTTGCACTGCTGTCCATAAAGTGCTTTCAGCAGAAATGTAAGATAATTGTGGGGTTCATTTCCCTTCTTTCAGAGATCACACTCTTGTACCACCTGTTGTCCAACATCTGAAAACCATCGTTCATATATTTTATTTTGTCTTCTAGTTTTTTACAGTGGCCCTGTTATTCTACCTTCTTTGTGTTTTGCTTTGTTTCTTAAAAATCTCAATGAGCCTTTTGTGTATCACACTTCATGTGTTTTCTGTATTAAAGCCGTAACTTTCATTTGTCCCAAATTATCTCCTGTTTGTGTTTGCTGTTGTTGGTGGTGGGGTCCACTCAGATACAATGTCCTGCTAGAGACAAGATCTTAAGTCATAATGCCATAGTTTTTGTGCCTTAGAACTATTTTACTTTTATTTTAAAACATTACATTACTGAATACAACATGCAGAAAAATGAATAGATTGAAATAACAAAGTTTAACATATTTTAGAAGTCAACTGTGTAATCGTAATGGGTGAAAAAATAGAACATCAGCATCCAGGAAGCCTCTTTTATTTACTCTGCCCCATTCTGAATCCCTTCCTTTACTGGAAAATGGCCATGCTCCTTTCTTTCACAGCAGAGGGGTCCAGTACATGTCTGCAAACACAGGGGGATGTCTCCTAAGCAACCTGCACTAAGCATCACCAAAACTGTCCATTCTCTTGTACAGTGGTATACCATTGTACCCCATTGCTGGACACCCAGTACACTCCAACCCCTTGGCCCAACATGTGGCCAAAAAATTTGTCAATTTTAAAATATAAGAACATAAAATGTTTAGGGAAATCTGATTCTTTTGTTTTTTTCTTCATGTTTTGTGGCTGCTACTGTAGCTTCACCATACAGTAAAGAATGTGTTTTGAGTTTATAAAATAGCATAAGCTGCTGTGGAAGACAGAGGATAAAGGGCTGACTTGCAAATGAGGTGACTGGGGAAGCTTCTGGAGGAGGTAGCATGTGAGCTGTTGCAGAGCAGGGTTCTTGGGCTCAGCTGCTCATTGGAATCATCTGGGGAGCTTTTAAATCTACAGTGCCTGGGTTCCATCCACAGAAACTCTAATCGGACTGGGTTTTTTCAAAAAGGGGTCTCTGGTTGATTCTAGTGTGCAGAAGCACAGAACCAAGAACCAGGGCCTTAGGCTAGAGCATTCTGTGTAAAACAGGACCAGGGTTTTGTTTGTTTGTTTTTAAATTTCAGATCCACTGCGGACTCACTGATATTTTTATAAAATAAAAAGTGAATTACTAGAAAAGTGAAAACATATGCACACAAAGAAATGCAAAATGTTTATCAACAGATAAACAATAACTGACTAAATTGCTATAAAGATTATAAAACGTTTAGTCTCTATTTCTATACTTACTGTTGTAGACACAAAACTGGGTTCATGGACTGGTGTTGGTCTGCAGAGTAGACCAGCTTTGATTACTGCTGATGCAGAGGGCAGTGTGGCTAGAGTCCTGTATTAGGTGAACAAAGGTAGGCTGGGTCCAGATTATACAGGGCCTCAAGAGCAGAAATGAATAGCTTGGCTTTTATTCTGTAGGCACTGGGGAGCCACAGAATTCTGGAAAGGAATAATCTGATTGACAACATCATGTGTGATAGATTTATAGTGAAAATACATTGTTGATGAGAACCTGAAAGGGGAAGGAAGTTGAAGGCATAGGGACTGGGTAAAATAAAACAAAACTATCACATTTCTGGAGAAGTCACTCTGGCACTGCTAAAAAAAACTCAGTAGAGGATGTAAGAACTTAAGCTAGCCTACTCCCTAAAGCTTAAACAATCCAGAAAACAAAGTTAAATTCTAAAAAAAAAACCCTCCACCTAATGTTTTCAGAAACCACACAGATAGAAGATCCAAGGAAACAATGGAGGGGGGAACAGGAGAAGATGCTGAAGGACTACCTCTCCGTGGCGCAGGATGCCCTCCGGACCCAGAAGGAGCTGTACCATGTGAAGGAGCAGAGGCTGGCTCTGGCCCTGGATGAATATGTGCGATTAAATGATGCCTATAAGGAAAAGTCAAGTTCTCGCACAAGCTGTAAGTACAGTGTGGCTATTCAGACTTTAGAATTGGAGACTGGATTGTAGATAACGGAAGGCCACTTAAATTTCTATGGAGTTTAATTTTGAGGCCTTTTCCCTCCTAAGCAGGAAGAGTCTCTCAAAACCATGAGCGGCAAGGGCACACCCCAGATTTTTCAATAAAGCTCTCACCCCCACTCCAGATAAAAGTAGCCCCTTTTGGGGATTATGCATGCCTTCTGTTACTGCTCCCACCTCTGCCAGGTTGTCTGTATGCATTTATGAGTTAATTTTTACTTTTTCAGAACAATGAAAGTAATTTGGCCCTTTTCTGCTACTTTTGTACAATATTTTTAGTGGAGAGGAACTGGAACTATTGTCTTCAGTGTAATTTCTGTTATCCACCTGAGTTGATTTACCTCTCCCTCATCTCACAGATTGATTATTTGGAGCTGGCTTTGTTTAAAGAAGCAGCTATGATGAGCTCAGAAGTTCTACTTAAATTATAAATTCCTTGATAATGCAAAACTCTGATATACTGCTGCAGCATAGTCCTCTAAGGACATAGTATACATAAAACCCAGAAGAAAGTTAAGCACCAAGGCCTGCATGACATTACTCGTTACAGAGTTAAAAAAATGATAGAGGTTTGAAGATTACTTTTTATATTTAGGTGTCTGATGAATGACAATAAAGGAATTATAAAAAGTAAGTATTCACAGAAGCACATAAATCTTATTTTTAGCTTCAGTAAATTCTTTTTTCCCCCATGTATAGCTTCAGTAAATTGCAAGCTGAGAACTAGTTATGCAACTTGTAAATAATTAGGTTTTCTTTTTTCTTTTTAAAAAGTATTCTCAGGATCTTCATCCAGTACTAAATATGATCCCGATATTTTAAAAGCTGAGATCTCCACTACAAGATTAAGGGTAAGAGGTTTTAAATTGTGGTTCTATGTTGACTAATATGCATAGAGTCTGAAGGATGTGGAAGGGGCTTCAGTGATCAGCTCTCATCTCCATTTGGTATAGAAAACTCCTCCACTTATCCTTGATGAGTGGTCTTTCTACATTTATGTGAACAAGTTCAAAGTTTGGGATAGTCTTTATTATTGAGACAGTGTGTTCTATAATTAGGCAGGGTTTTTTTGTTGTTTTTTTTTTTTGTTTTTTCGAGATGAAGTCTCACTCTGTCACCTAGGCTGGGTCACTGCAATCTCTGCCAACTGGGTTCAAGCGATTCTTCTGCCTCAGCCTCCTGAGTAGCTGAGATTACAGGCACATGCCACCAATATTAATTTTGGTATTTTTAATAGAGATAGGGTTTCACCATGTTGGCCACACTGTTCACACTGGTCTCGAACTCCTTACCTCAAGTGATCTGCCCGCCTCAGCCTCCCAAAGTGTTGGGATTGCAGGCATGAGCCACTGCTCCTGGCCTGTTGGGCGGTTTTATTGTTAGTAGTTAGAATATTGAATCAAAATTTGAGTCTTGTAACTTGCTTTCCCTCATCGTGCTGAGTTTTGCTCTGCAGAGTTAAGCCAAGTTGCTCTTTTGTCAGATAACCCAATATTTAAAGATGCCCACAACTTAAAAGTCTAAGTCAAACTTAACTAGATCTCATAATGCCTCATGAAGAGTTGTTTCCTGAATCTTGGCCAGAGTGTTTTTAACCAAACTGCTGTTAAGACCAGAGCTTGTTTATCCTTGATTTTTGGAATATTAAAGGCTGTTCGCCAAGTAAATAAACTCATGTAACCAATACCCAGGTCATGAACTAGGTTATTACCGTGACCCCTCCTTATTATTTTTCTTTTCCCTAAAGGTGGTACTAGCCTCATGAGCACTGGGGGTTAATTTTTCACCTTCTTTGAACGTCCTAAGACTGGATACTATATGTATTAATTTGATGGCTCGCCTTGCTCAACAGCATTTCAAGATCCACATTCACTTTTATTGCTGTATAGTGTTCCACTTTTGTGTACATACCATAAATTCTTTATCGTATGTAGTATTGATGTACATTAAAGTTTATTTCAATTTGTGATTATTAAAAATTATGCCTTAGTGTACATGTCTATTATACATGCCTTATATGTGGACCACTTATATGTGGACTCTTGAAAAAAAAAGGATCAAATACACAGAGACAAAGAATAAAACAATGGACCTTGGGAGGTGGGCAGAGGTCAGGGGAGTTGAAATGGTGAGATGTGGTTCAAAGCATAACAGGTCCAGATGTGCAGGCTGAACAAACCTAGAGCTGTAATGTACAACATGAGGACTAAAGGGAATAACATTGTATTGTATTAGGGATTCTTGTTCAGATTTTAGCTGCCCTTGTGACAAAAAATAATAACTGTGTGAGTTGATAGATAAGTTAATTTGCTTCACTATAGTAATCATTTTACTAACTGTATGTATTCCATAACGTCATGTTGTAAACCTCAAATATACACAATAAAATTTATTTTAAAAAATACAACCATGGCTCACTTAACAATGGGTATATATTCTGAGAAGTGTAGTATTAGGCAGTTCCTTTGTCCTGTGAACATCACAGAGTATACTTAATGCAAACCCAGATGATATGGCTACTACACACCTAGGCTATATGGTATAGCCTGTTGCTTCTAGGCTACAAACGTGTACAGTACGATACTGTACTGAGTACTGTAAGTACATATTATGAGTACATTCAGTACGTAGAATTGTAAAACACAGTGGTAAGTATTTCCATATCTAAACTTATCCAAAGGTAGAAAACGCAGTGCGAGACATAACATTTTATTTATTTATTTATTTATTTATTTATTTATTTATTTATTTTTTACTTTTTTCTTTTTGGAGAAGGAGTCTCGCTCTGTTCCCCAGGCTGGAGTGCAGTGGCGCCATCTTGGCTAACTGCAACCTCTGCCTCCTGGGTTCAAATGATTCTCCTACCTCAGCCTCCTAAGTAGCTGGGACTACGGGTGCCCACCAATGTGCCTGGCTAATTTTTGTATTTTTAGTAGAGACAGGGTTTCACCATATTGGCCAGGAAGGTCTTGAACTCCTGACCTTATGATCTGCCTGCCTTGTCTCCCAAAGTGCTGGGATTACAGGCATGAGCCACCACGCCCGGCCTAAGACATACCATCTTATATGCAGCGAAATGTGGACATGTGGCACCTGACTGTACATATCTTAGTGGATACTGCCAAACAGTTTCAGCCCTTCTTACTTTCTCATGTCTGCACTAAGGCTCTAAGCTACTTTATGCACAGGCTTTTCCCCACATCTCACAAGTTTTGAATTTTATATTTCCACTGTTATTCAGACCAAAATATTTCTGACTTCCTTTGTGATTTCTCATATGAGTGCATTGTTTAATTTTCAAACAGTTGGAGATTTTCTTTTATTTTTGACTTCAACTTAAATACACTGTATTTTTCAGTTCAAAAATTTATGTGTGAAACTGGGTGCAGTGGCTCACTCCTGTAATCCCAGCACTCTGGGAGGCCAAGGTGGGAGGATGGCTTGAGGCCAAGTGTTTAAGACCAGCCTGGGCATCATAGCAAGACATCATCTCATTAAAAATAAAAAAAAATTTTAATCTCAAAATTTCTATTTGATAATTTTTTAGTTGTTTCTAGTTACTTGCCCAAATTCTGCACATTAATATATAATTTTTGAATACTTTGTCATCCTAGAGAGGATTTAGTTTTGTTTCTTCTAGGTAGGTAGGCCTGGGGCAGGTAATTTTAATCTAATCATGATTTGAGCTGACTGCAGCCCGGGCTTCAATCCTTCTCTAAGGGGGGGTCTATTTCCAGTTTCCCTTTTCTTTTAGGGCAAAGCTCTTCAAAATCCCAGTTGAACTCTTGGGGTGTTTTAACAGGGCCCCTTCTGTTGGATGAAGGCTGAACTTCACATCTCCTTCCTGTGCCTTAGCTCTCTGGGGCTGCCAGCACTTCTCTGTATCTCAGGTGCTCAGTCACTGCATGCTCCCAGCCTTTCAGCTTCTCTGTTGCATGGGCAGATACCTCAAAAGCAGAAACAGTGCCATGTTTGGATTATGACACTGAATTTCCCTTATCTTTTTTGGATTTTTTTTTTTTTTTTTTTTGAAATGGAGTCACACTCTGTAGCCCAGGCTGGAGTGCAGTGGCGCCATCTTGGCTCACTGCAACCTGCGCCTCCCAGGTTCACGCAATTCTCCTGCCTCAGCCTCCTGAGTAGCTGGGACTACAGGTGCCCACCACGACACCTGGCTAATTTGTTGTATTTTTAGTAGAGACGGGGTTTCGCCATGTTGTCCAGGCGGGTTTCAAATGCCTGGTTTCGTGATCTTCCCACCTCGGCCTCCCAGAATGCTGGGATTACAGGTGTGAGCCACTGTACTTGGCCTCTTTTGGATCTTTAATACAAGTTTTTGCTGCCTTAGTAGTTCTCCAGTGTCCTCAACTAGATGTATGTGTTTGTTTTCTCATAATTTTTCTATTTCTTACTAGAAAAAGAGTATGAAAAAGGTTTGTCTGCTCTTACTGGAAGCAAAACCTCTCTTTGGTTTGGATTGCTTGATTCAATTTATGAAGCCACTGTTCTATGTCATTGTACAATAAATACTGCTGCAGGTGTCCTGGGCCCTTTACGTTGTCAGTCCATCCATATCTCTGTATAGGCAGTGGTTTGTCAAATGCCTTGGTACTGTATCTTTGTACCGTGTCTGTATGCTTATTTCTATATCCTAATGAGCTGCTAGGCTAGATACCTTATCTTAAAAAAAAGGAAATGACGTTTTTGTAAAACTTACTCTGAATAAACTCCAATACTCAAGCTGTGCACTTCTCAGCAAATTATTACTGCCCTCTGAAATTTTTATCCTTTTCATAGTTCTTATCTTTGCAAGACCCATTGTAAATGGAATAACTACAGTTAGCTGTTAGTCTGTCCACTTAGATCCTCTAAGAAATATGCAAACTGAGGGAGGAATTTAGAAACAAAAACATATTAGAATATCTTGTTCAACTAACCATTTATAGTAGAAGGAAATGGAGCCCCATCCCAATCAGGGGCAGCATAGGCAATCCCAAGTGGTCACATTCCCCAGAATTGTCTTCTGACGTAGCAGATCTCTTAGATTAAGCTTCTATGCCAGGTTTAGTTTGCTGTTAACATAGAAGGCCTATATTTTATATATATATATATATGTATATATATATATATACACACACATGAACACATACACGCATATGAATAATACATATATTATAGATAATATATTGCATATTTATATATAAAAATATTTTATCACCTTGTGACCACAAAGATGAGTCAGAGAGAGATGCCCTCTTCAAGAAGGTGCTTCCCTCACAAAAAGAAGATAAGATATTCATAAATAACTATAATAAAAATTAAATAGCTAAAATAAAATATCAGAAACGACACTGGTTTCATCCCTTTCATTAGTGCCTAGGTGCTTGCTTAACACTTCCTGGCAGTGTGGATACCTTTTTAGAAATGCTGCCATAGCAGATTGGTCCTTGTGGACTGTGTTGCTGTTGTGATATTTCGAGCTGTGTCATGGTTTGAACACTGTGGCACAGATGATGCACCCTGTATCCATCTGACCAGGTAACACTTTAGGAATGGCCCAGCCGTTCAGAAGTGGATAGGTAACTTGGCAGAGTCTGCTAGATTTTGATAATCTGGCCTTTCTTGGCTTGTATAATCTGTTAAAAATCCCTTTCACAAATTAATGCCTTAGGAGTAGTAACTCTTGAATCAACTAACTCATCGCTTTGGTGTCTTGGAGTACTTGCCTGCATTTTTAGTCACAGTAACAATTTTTAAAGCATAGCCAAACACTAATTTCATGCTTTACTGTTCTGTTGCAACAGTCTAAGCAGGTGTGCCTCAGTTGTTTTACTGAATTCGGACTAATAGA